TCTCAAAAGAAACTCCTGGAGCTTCTGGTGCTCTCCCTCCTCCGACTTTCACGTGATTCAGCTTCCCCAAGCCAGGGAAGCCGAGGACAAGGCTCACTGTAAGTATCCAAAGGGAGCAGATGTGGTGCAGGGGACCCCCCGGCTCCGTGCTCAGCCTCGGGGCAGGATTGTGACTCTGGACCTGGGGCAGGAGGGTCCCGTCCTCTCCCTGGCAGAAAGCTGGGGGGAAATACTGGGGAAGGGCCCTGGATGTCCCCACAGTCTTGCAGGGAGCCCTGCCTGGGATGGGCAGGCACCAGCTCCTCCCTCAGCCCAACGCCCAGAGCACGCGGGGTGCAGGGGCAGGCAGCACAGCTCCATGGGGTGCTGCCCCGTAGGGCTGGGAGGGCTGCAGGGCAGCCCCACGGGAGAGGGCTCCCTTCTCTGTGGGGTGCTGGGGGTCCCCACAGCCGCAGCTCAGGCTGGGCTCGTGCAGTTTTGGGGGCTGGGTGCATTTGGGGCAGGATGGAACACTACTGAGGGTGATAGGAGTGGATGTTCCCAGGGAATGTGAGACTCTGTGGGGGTCTCGGCTGGGGGCTGTGCACAGCACCCTGGGGTGGGGGCTGCACTGCTCGTGGGCTGCTGGTCCATGGGGCTTCAGGTGCTGGGGACCCAGGCAGCACTGGGGTTCTTGGGGTCTGGGGAGCTGTGGGTTGTTCCTTGGGGCCATCCCCTGCCCTGGAGCTGTGAGCAGGCTGGGCAGCAGCCACCTCCTTCCCAGCGTGGCTACGTGTCCCCTGTGTGTGTCCCCATGCTGGCCTGCGCTAACCCTGCTCTCTGCCTCCAGGAGCGAAATGGCTGCCAGCAGCTGCCTCCCCCTGCTCCTCCTGCCCTGGCTGGTGATGGCCTCGCACAGCCCCCCCGGCTGCAAGATCCGGATCACCTCCAAGGGGCTGGACTTGGGTAAGGGGCCAGGCGGGACCCTGCTCCTTGGTCATGGGTGAGAGGCAGACTGTGACACTGCTTCTGGGGTCTGTGCCTGGGTATGGCTTTGCCAGAGCTGCCTGCACATGGGGCAGCTGGAGAGAAGCTGGGGGCTGGCAGGGCGCACAGCCTGGCAGCAGCCAGCCCAGGCTTGCTTTGCTCTGCAGTGGAGCAGGAGGGGCTGCGCTTCGTGGAGCAGGAGCTACAGAACATCACAGTGTCAGACCTGCACGGGAAGGAGGGGCAATTCCACTACAACATCAGCCAGTGAGTGCTGCCTACAGCTCACACACATGGCTCCCCGCGTCCATCTGTCCACCCAACCATCTCTGTTCCTTCCTCCACAGGGTAAAGGTGACAGACCTGCAGCTGGCGTTTTCCAACCTGCGCTTCCAGCCTCAGCAGCACCTCGTCTTCAACATCAGCAATGCTTCCATCAGCCTGCGGTTCCGGAGGCAGCTGCTCTACTGGTTCTTGTGAGCTGCCTCCCACTCCCCCAGGCTCCAGTCAACCCCACGTCTGGGCCACAGGATGCCCACAGGATGCCATGGGTGTGCTGCCCTGGAGCTGTGTGCTCCTCTCATCTGCTCTCCTCACTTCCAGCTACGACATTGGGTCCATCAATGCTTCTGCAGATGGTGTCCACATCCACACAGTGCTGCAGCTGGCCAAGGATGAGGCCGGGCGCCTGAAGATCTCTAATGTCACCTGTGATGCCTCCATTGCCAGAATGCATGCAGGCTTCTCCGGCACACTGGGGTACACCCAACCCCACCGCAGCAGCCCCAACCCTTTGCCTGGCTCCCTAGCCCTGCTCTACTCCCATGGGATCTCCCCAGCCCATGCTGGGAACTCCCACAGGGACAAAGGGGCAGGGCTGGAGCCACAGAGCCACTGTTCTGTTCTGCAGAAAGGTCTATGAGTTCCTGGGCACCTTCATTGTCACAGCAATGCGCTTCCTCCTCAGCCAGCAGGTACGGCTGACTGGAGGCAGGGATGGAGCCTGGTCTTTCCCTGTCCCACTGCGGGAGGACGGTCTGGGTCTTCATCCAGAACTGGGAGTAATGCCCCTCTTAGCCCAGCCCTTGCCTTTCAGATCTGCCCGTCGCTGGAGCATGCCAGCCTGGTGCTGCTGAACTCTCTGCTGGACACAGTGCCAGGTGAGCCCTGGCCTGGGAAAAGGGACCAGCCTCCACACTGGGCTGCCAGGTGGTCTGCAGGCTGGGTCACAACATCACATCTTCCCTGGCAGTGCGGAACAATGTGGATGAGCACATCGGGATTGACTATTCCCTCCTGCGGGATCCGGTTGTTTCCACGGACACCCTTGACCTAGACTTTAAGGTGAACGCTGGATCTTGCTGTGCCAACCCCTGGTCCCTGTGGGAGCAGCTCTGTGCCAGCCAGTGCACTGGGCACCACGGGTAGACTGCAGAATAGCTGCAGAAATGGCTTCTGTTCTTGATCCAGGGCATGTTCTTCCCTCGGGAAAGAGAGAACCAGGAGCTGGAGAACCATGCAGTGGAGCCGGTGATCAAGGAGACAGAACGGATGGTCTATGTTGCCTTCTCTGAGTACTTCTTTGACTCGGCCATGCACGCATACTTCCAGGCAGGCGTGCTGGCCATAGAGCTCCAGGGGGAGAAGGTGAGTTGAGCCGGGACCTCTGGATCCACGCAGGCAAGGGCTGCTGCCGGGCAGGAGGGAGGGCTAGGTTCTGCCTGCAGGGAGCAGCTCTGATGGGAGCAACGGCACCTCCTCGCTTACCCTGTGATGCTTTGTCCTTCTTGCAGGTGCCCAAGGATCTGGAGGTTTTGCTGAGAGCCACCTTCTTCGGGACCATCTTCATGCTGGTGAGAGGCGCATCAGCTGGGGCGGGGAGAGCCTCAGGGCAGAGCTCTGCTGCTCACCCGCCCCTCCCCACCAGAGCCCAGCCGTGGACGCTCCCCTGCGCCTGGTGCTGCAGGTGTCGGCTCCTCCCCGCTGCACCATCAAACCCTCGGGAACCTCGGTCTCAGTCTCTGCCTTCCTCAACATCTCGCTGGTGCCCCCAGGCCGCCCCGCCGTCCAGCTCTCCAGCATGGCCATGGTGAGTGGGGAGCTGGCTGGGGGGGGACACCCTCCCCAGCCCGTGTGGGAAGGCTCCAGTGTCCCAGAGGATGGGCACAGCGAGGCCTGTGGAGCAGCCAATGCGGGCACAGCAGGGCTGCCCTCTGGTCCCTCTCGCCCTAGGAGACTAAGCTGAGTGCCAAGGTGTTTCTGCGCGGGAAGGCGCTGCGCATGCAGCTGGACCTGCGACGGTACGGATGGTGCTGAGGTCCCCAGGCTGCGGGGGGTCCCTGGACTGCAGGGGCAGGGGGGTCTCCTGTAGCGCCCATCATGGCCGCTTTCTCCCCTGCAGGTTTCGTATTTACTCCAAGCAGTCTGCACTGGAGTCGCTGGCGGTGAGCAGAGCCCTGCTAGCCCCTGGCCTCCCTCGATAGCCCTATGGCACAGGGGAGGCTCTGGGAGTGGCTGCCTCTTGCAGGACCCCCATTGTGCCCCCCCCCAGTGCCTGGTGCAGGCGTGCCCTGCCCCAGCAGGGCTGCCCCACTGCCGGCTCACCCTGCTCCCTCTCTCCAGCTGTTCTCCCTACAGTCCCCGCTGAAGACCCTCCTGCAGCTCACCATCATGCCCATCATTAATGGTAGGGATCACCACACCCTGTTGGGTCTGGGGCACAACAGCACCCGGCCTCACCACATCTCTCCCTGCAGAGAGGACTAAGAAGGGGGTGCAGATTCCGCTGCCAGAAGGCATGGACTTCACCAAGGAGGTGGTCACCAACCACGCGGTACGTGGGGGGTCAGGGACAGCCCAGGCTGCAGCAGGA